AGCAAAAAGGCAACCAAAACAAAGCGATAACAAGGGGTTTTAGAGCATGAAAACAACAGCTAAAATCTAGTAAAATCATGATGTAATATGGCAGTAGATAAGGTGGGAATAAAACAGAAAAGAGAGTAATTTCTGTCAAAGTTTTGGTCAGATTTCGTGCTGGAATTTCCAATAGAATTCACACCTAGAAATTGACTGATTTGGGTTGAGTGGTTAACAAATAAATTGTAACCCTATGTCTTAACGTTCTATAGCCTCAAGAATTACCTTAATCCAAGGTTTACAAAGGAAGTTATGATCAAAATAGTGACAAAAGGTCGGGCTGCCAATTCAGTCCGCCTGCAGGATCCGAAATTGCAGCAAAGTTTTCACCTTGAAAACAGCTGAAATGGGTTAAATGTCCAACATAAAAATTGTAGATTTATCTCTTAACTTTCTATAAAATCAAGAATGAACTCAAAACATTGCCTACAGATAGAGTTATGGGTAAATTACTATAAAAGGGTCATGCAGTTTGAATTTTTGGCAAGTAAAGGAAATCAGCTTCTGATGGTATTTATCATGGACAAAATCAAAGGAAAAACTACAGAAATTTCCCAAAATTAAAAGCCCTAAATGATTAGAGCTAATCCACTTCAAATCAAGGATGAAAAGATGAGCAACAAGGTTGATTTTCTTACCAAAAAGTGCTGAAAATGGTTATGGACAACAACTCAAAATAGATCAGCAGATTGGGAGGTTGCAGCAGCTAGATCTGGAAATTTTGAGCATCATTTTGGAACCAAAAACTCATTTATTTTTAACCCTTGCTAAGAGAAGGAAGAAAACTAAGTTCTTACCTATTATTCTGGCAAGAAAGTACTCTCACAAGGCAAGGGCTTGGGGAGGAAAAATTCTGGTGAGGGTTGGGGAGAAACACGTAGAATTGGGTAGGAGAGAAAAAGAAAACGAGCTTTGGCCCCCTTTTAAATCACCAAAGTTCACTTTTAATGCCCTTAGGTTTGAAATTTTTTACCATTAGGCCCACTAATAATAATTCCTCCCATATAAATCCCTAACTTAAATTTAAATTCACTTGTACTAACGTATTCATGTGTACATATATATATATATATGTCTAAAATTTCAGAAATTTTGGGATGTTACAAAAATCCAAGGTAATATTTCTTTCAAGTTTCCTACAACCTAAGGCTTGTCATATGAACCTTACTAGTTGGTATCAACTTATTTTTTTGTTCTAATGCTCTTTAAGCTTCCTTTGAACAAAAGCCATAAAAAAAGACATCTTTTATATTTTGTTATTAGGTTTGCCTTCTATACATCCTTCTTTACAATATCCTAAATCATTTTTTTTTTTTGGAAAAGCCACATACCACTCAACAATATTGTTCTCAACCAAATCCATCAAGGCACTAACTTAATTTTGAACAAAAACTTCATCTGCAATCTATTTGTCAAATTTGTTATTTAACTGGACATGTTCCCAATACCTGTACTAAGGTTTTAAGTAACAGTTTAAGGGATGCATATGCATGTATTAGGGAGGTAAGTGTTTTTCTTCATTTGCTTTGCTTCCATTATTGTCCATGATTTCAAGTTAATTATATAAATTTTTCCCTTTGTAATCCATAGATGTTTTACATATATTTACCAATACTTAGGGAATTAGCTGCAAGAAGAAAGAGTGATGCACAAAAGATTACGATTGGACCTAGTATGAAACTATTTTTCCTTTTTCACTTGTTCTCGCTAGCTATTTATGTTGTTTACAACATTAATATTTTTATTAAATCTTTATCATTGTGAAATATTAGCAAATGGAGTTGCTCCAACAAAAGCCAGAGGCTCAAACAAAATAATTAATTATATAGGAACTACTTCTGACGATGATGGTAGAGTTCTTGACTTTGTGAATACATACAAAAGTACAACGCATATTCTTGAACTCCCAAATGACAACTCCATTGGTGGAGTTCTTGTGAATGATTCATCCTTTTCATCTCCTAACTCTTTTTACATAAATACTCATGAAAAGGCAACATCACCAAATTTGCCAAGTTCTGTTAGTGAATCAAATAATGAGAATGGGTATATTTACATATTACTATCAATCCTTTTCTCGCTCTATAATTTTAAAGCACTTAATATTGAATTGATTTTTGTATTGATGGTTTGTTTGCAGGTAATTGAATGTGTTAGTGACTTGATTTTGGTATATCTATTACAATATAAGGTGAGGTGAGTGTGATTGATATTTTTTGTTAAATTTAAATTTGATAGTATATATTTCTATGTTTTAATATGGAGTTAATAAATTTGTTTGTAAACTTGCATAAGTGAGAGATGTAAAACATGTTTTATCATTTTAGATACTAAAAAAAGAAATTCCTAAAAGCAATCAAAAGACTCTTCTTTGCGCATATTTAGTAGTTTTATCTCTTCAATTGCAATTGGTTATGTCTACCTTTTTTGTCTTTATTATTATCCACCTACATATAGCAGCTTGTGTCTAAATTTTCTATTAATATCACATAATCTTCATGGCACTATTTTAAAAACTGAACCGGATCAGTTGGTTGAATCGGTCGAACTAATATCCGGTACTATAAACGGATCGGATCAATATTTATAACCAATGAAGTGGTTGAACCATTCAAATCGATAGAATCATTTGGACCTATACAAACCGTTAAACCAATGATTTAAAGCTTTTGAAAAATTTCCCCTAAATTTGCCACTCTTAGGGTTTGAACACAAGACTTAAGGGAAATTTTCAATCACCTTTGCCACTGAGACATCACCTCTTTTGATTGACTTGATTGGGTTAAATTTTTATTTATTTTATTTTTAAGAAGAAAAGAATTGCGAGCGAAATCAAACTTCCTTCTCTTGTGTCATTAACTTTAATGTTAAAATTAATATAATGTTCATATATTTTTTATCTTAAATATACAAATTAAAAGT